ATAAACTGGTGGACGTACCAACTACATGTACTAAGTACCTAATACCAGCCCAGAAAAGAACAAGAAATAGCCATGCTTTCAACTACCAGTGTTATCAACCAAGGATTGAGGTGTTCAAAAACTTATTCTTTCCTAGAACTATCGCCGAGTGGAAGTCGCTGTCACCAAGTACAGTATGGGCATTATCATTAGATAGCTTTAAACAATCCCCCCGAAAATAGTTTCATCAGGTTGGTAAAGCTTAAGAGATAGGGGAATTCTTTTTACACAACCAAAGAGTCTCACCTCGCTGACGTTTCGGTGTCTGTCAGACACCGAAGTTTACATAGGGGAAACGGGACGCACATTTTGGACTAGATTAGAAGAACACAAGAAGGAAGCTGACAACATGGACACAGTGAAGTACACAAGATCACAGACAAGACATGCACAAAAAGAAGAAAAGAAATCAGCAGTGACAGATCACATTGCTAGAAACAACTGCGTAATTGACTGGGAGGGGGCGAAAGTTATAGACAGAGAAGACAATAGAAGAACCCGCTGGATCAAGGAGGCGGTTTGGATCAGAAAGTCAACCCCTGTAATGAACCGGGACGAGGGGGGTACAAACTAAGCCACGTTTGGGATAGTGTTCTGGCCGCAAAAGTGCCACCTACATCGGCTACATATAGCGGCGAGATGCAGTACTCCAGTCAGAAGCTCTGAAGAAGGTGTCTGACAGACACCGAAACGTCAGCGAGGTGAGACTCTTTGGTTGTGTAAAAAGAATTCCCCTATCTCTTAAGCTTTAAACAATGTTTAAGGTTTAGGTATAACAAGTCGTTAATTTATCCAGGTGCCACCGCGCCGCGCGCCTGCGAAGCTGGTGTGTTAAGCCGAAGGGGGGTTATACCAGCTACACCGATGAAGAAAGATTAAGATTATTCCTAACTCTTCTGCTGACGACCGGGAACAGTAAAATTGCGAAAACCTTTGTGGTATATCAGAATGAAGCGTGCTAAAACTATCACGGACACGATGGCCAGGGCATGTCAAATAGCCTCGATCGTTGGCCCGTAGGATGGCACTCTTTACTGCATCCTCCCACTGGTTTGGTCATCTCAGCGCTTGGTGGGCCGACTTGGAACGAGTCATAGTCTGAGGAAAAAATGCTGGACGAATTAGCAGTCATATGAGGTTCCATACCACAGCTAAATGATGTAATGTAACATTATCACACACTTTTGACAAAGTGTGATTTGTTAAAGAACTATCTAAGGAAAGGTCCCAACAATTTTCTCATAATAACTGCAAAACTAGTACTTTCTGTAACTTCTCACCTGGTTGTCCCTGGACAGCCGACGGAAATACATGTTTGTATACGTAAATACGACTAGAAGTCGCCGTGCTCAGAAATAGCAGAATCGTTCGTGAAACTCCATCCAATTTATTTTTTGATCATCTTTCTTTAACAAAAAACAAACGAGCAATCTATTACAAGATCTCACCTAGCATTGCAGGGCCAATGGCGACTATGCCGTAGAACCGTACGGGTGTGTGATCATCCACTCTGTCCCAGTACCCGAAACAGGGCTTTTCTGGGTCCAGTGTGCCAGGAACCCACCACACGTCAACTTTCTGCCCCTACAACGCGATAATCAAGTACAGTCTTTTATAGTTTTTGATAGAAAAAAATTAGAAAATAAGAAAAAATAAAATAAAAAAAATAAAAATAAGAAAATTTTTAAAAAGTAGAAAAATTAAAACAATAAAAAAATCCGTAAATAATTTCATCAGGTTGGTAAACGAATGAGTAGCAAAGTTCTTTGAACACAACCATTTATTTTTCACTAGCCGACGTTTCGATGACCGCCTGTCATCTTCATCAGGGCAATTCTGACTGGTTTACTGTGCACTGAAACTAGATGTTACTTGTTGCATAGTGCACGGTGTTACATAGTTCACAGTGCACTGTTACTTGGTTCACAGTGCACTTAAGCTAGTTTTTATGCATTTCCGAACGTAGGGCAATTGTGACATACATATACTAGACATTGTTACACCATAGGGATATATGCGGTTGCAAATGTAAAGTGTTTTTATATATAATATTAAGTTTGTTAACTAACAATACTGAGCTATCGCAGTCCCAAATAGCACTATGCACCAAGTAACATCTAGCGTCAGTGCACAGTAAACCAGTCAGAACTGCCCTGATGAAGATGACAGACGGTCATCGAAACGTCGGCTCGTAAAAGATAAATGGTTGTGATCAAAGAACTTTGCTATTCAATAAAAAACATCTTTTTAGAAATTAAAAAAATACAGTCTAAGAATATAGTATGTTTTCACACTTGCTTACGTAGAACACAACAATTCCATTTTAGGTACATCGTCATTCAAAGCCTTTGATGGGTATACATGTATTATAATCAAAAGAAGAATTGATTTCAGATGTTATGGAAAACTTAAACTTTTCTCCAACTCAAAATTTGACTCACCAGAAATTTTCGACCGAATCACTCAGTCTTCCTCAGCTATCTGACCCAAATGCTGTGGACACGTGATCTTTCCCACGTGTGACGTCAGCAAAGGGTCAAAGGTTGTCTGAAGTCGATATCGCCCCCCGTCCCGGTTGAGCGACGGTTGAAGTGCCCTGGTGTATATGGCCTCTTTTATGCCTCTCTTGAAGTAATCCTGTTCGGTATCGAAGATTCTGACCCCCTCCAAATCCACTGTGTGTCCCGGTGATTCTATGTGGATGTGCTGTGACACCTCAGATGCAACAGAACAGGTGGGAAAAATCACGTGTCCACAGCATTTGGGTCAGATAGCTGAGGAAGACTGAGTGATTCGGTCGAAAATTTCTAGTGAGTCAAATTTTGAGTTGGAGAAAAGTTTTCCATAATGTAATTTACCAACTCAGATGAACTTTCATGCTGATTTCAGATGTGTCATGCAACGTATGCAGATTCTTACCCGGAGCATGGCCGTCCCGTTGTACTGGCAGCTTTTGACCCAGTCCGGAGTTACGGGTCCTAACCCTTTTTCGAACAGACAACAGTCGTGGTCCTCCCAGGTGCTCGAGGTGTGGTTCACAAAGTAGGTATTCCCGCCCGTTATGAGGAAAGAACAAGTGTAGTTGTTGTATTGTTCGGGCTTGTCAAAGAGAGGCAGACACCAGTGTATGAAATCACTGCGTAGAGTCTGGAAAATTATGGGTTCTGTAAGATTTTATGATATGGCAATAAAAGTGGCATGTTCCCAGACAGGGAAACTGTTGGGGTTTTTTTTCTGGATAAAAAAATTGCGAGATAGGGCGGACTACAATCATGTTATTTCACTCTGTTCGGACATGAAAAAATTGGCAAAGGTAAGGTATTTTGCACGTTGCTTGCACCTGTTTTTTCAGCGAATTTGGTTACTTACCTTAATGTTCCAGTCGTAATAGATGACGCCAGGTTTACTGAACTTGTCTCCATACTCTTCTATGCGGACTGTGAACTTTGACGTGAACTGATCCGGCCATATTGGCGGCTTTGGGCTGGACGCTTCTGAAGTGCCTGCGAAAACAAATTGGTGGTTTATTCTACAATGGGACTTTTTCTGGAAAAAGTTGAGGCAAGGTGTCCCACTCTTAACATTGTGCTCTCCATACGCATGATGCATAGAAAAGCAACAGCCAAAAACGGAATCGAGCGCATTTGAAGCTTGCACACATGAGTGTCTAGTTTTAACTAGACTTGACCTGAAGCATCATGTGCAGGTTTCTGACCCAAAATGACCTTCACCGTAGTCTGGTGACAGCTAGCTATGCATGTTGCAGTGAACCATGAAACATGAGTAAATACCTACGAATAAAGCGTAAGAAAACGACTTTAATGGGGAGGGGAGGGGGTTTTCTGCAGTTTGTGATTATCGAAAAGACCCATTTGTTACCGTATCGTTATCCATGTTTCGACCACACTTGTTTGTGTCGATTCAAACGTGGTCGGTGTTTTGGTTGTACAGGACTTATTTGCCACTTATGTCGACATGCCCGGTTGCCTCGGCTTGCCGAAGAATCTTCGGACACCGGCCCAATTACCTATAAATTCCTCGTAATAATCAAACTGCCCTGGAAACACTTTAAAGATGTCGATCTTTTGTTGATGACTTACCGGGAATGGAAAGAGCTAGTGTTCTTCCAGCAACCAATATGGACAGAGACAGACAGACAAAGACGAGACAGCTACGGAGATTTAACATCGACGTCAGCATGATGGCTGCCATGCTGACGTAGCGTATACAGCAAAGGGAACAGCAAGACACTGTCACGATATCACAGTCACATGTACATGGTTCGCTATTTCGACCTGCCGCACTCGCTGGATCACTGCGTATGTACATCCTACGACCAACATAAACATAGTTCTTGACTTTGTGCCAGCACTGCAGCGTGTTTTTAAATGGATCTGTGTGTAACATGGTGTAACACGGCAAAGTACAGCTACTTGGGATGTAGCCGTGGCGACAATAATCCTTTTTGAATGCATGATATCCTGTATTATTATACAAAAAAAGAAGGATGTATTCCAGCAGATTTCACCATCCTTAATGTGCATACCGGTGTATTCCTGTGTATTCCGGTAAATTGAGGCGGAGTGTGAACGGGTGACCCTGAACAAACACGACGATCACGACACGGCAGCATCTGATAATTCTCTGCAACTATCGAAATTGCGACTGACTTGGTCGAAAAAAATGATAAATATTTCCTGTTTTTTCTTATTTATTTTAGATTCGAGACAATGACAGACATAACGTCTTCTTCGGGCGGGATGAGGCTGGATGTCCCACCAGATGTAAATAGACCATACTCAGCGATTTTAAGAATGTTGTATATACAATGTATATTCGGCACATTAGTATATAATTGTTGTCTAATTGTTGTCTGATGTCCATGTCTACAAACATGGCAAGTCTGGTGAAATCACACAGACGTATATTGGAAACGCCATGACTCAATGAAAAAAAAGCAATCAGTATTTTTTTCTAAACTTTATTTGTACTTTTGCAAGAAGGAGACTGGAGGATAGAATTAATGCATAAAAGTGCATGTAAGCCTGATGGAGCAATTAGTCATTAAATTTAATGTTCACACAATACATTTCACCTGATGCCATATTTCTTCACTGTAGGACAACTTTGGCAAATGCATTACTCTGGTGCATTTGACGAGGACCAGGCAAATTTCATCGGTGAATGCATCCAGAAAGAGGTGCCGGTCCCTCTGGATTTGTCCTTGGTGAGACACAATTTCCAATGTGTTACATTCTCATCATTTGTTAATAATTTTGTCTCACTTGAAGTTTTTAAAATAAAGATGAATTTAAATTAAATTACAACTAGGAAGACAAGGAGTTTTTTTAAACTCTCATCAGATCTGGTGCCAAAAGATGAGCACTATGGACCAGATTTTTGGCAAATAAAAAAAAACTGAAGTGGGCAATTTAGAAAACCAACAATTTAAATTGGTTTGGCCTTAGCTGTCTTATATAAAACCAATTTTCTTCTTTTGGCTACAGGCGATGGAATACCGCATCATGGTGCTCCTCCCAGAAGCGCTGGCTGCCATTAACCACATAATGAAAGGCACAGCCACGATGGAGGAGGCCAGGGATTATATCTGGAAGGCGGGGTGTCGGGAAGACCTTTAAAGACCAATTATGTTAAAACACAACGTTAACAGTTCCTGAAAATAGTAATGTGGGATACAGAAGGTATTATTCAATCAAGGAAC